GGGGGGGAGGGGTGGGGGACATGATGACGTTTCATGCAGAACGAAGCTAACTTAGAAGCAAGCTGGAACCCGATGAAAAGGGGAAGAAACACATATTATTACAGTTGACAATGTAAATAAATCAAATATATTTTGTTTGTCCAAAAGGCTTACTTGCAATCCCAGTTCAATCGCTCGCCAACAAAGCTCTCCAGCTCCAAGCGCAGTTCTTCCCTGAATACACAACAGTTACATCGATAAGGAGAAAGTCCTTCATGCGAACAAAGCATGAAAGCACTACAAGGAAAGGTACTAACTATGCAGTAAATAAGAACAAAGTAACCTTTTAGTCTGCCGTTTTGTGGCCTCGTTCGACTTTCGCGGTTCAACATGGACGAACTGTCGTTGCAAAGAATGTTGGGAATGTTCACTCATCTCGCGCGTTACCCACGCGAGTTGGTGTCGTGATGTAGATAACTACCTAAAAAATAATACAAAGAAAATACACGCCCTGGTTGGTTTAAAATCGTGTTTCTATTAAGCGCTTAGATTATGCGCTCGACGTTTCTATCACACATAGAAATCGAGAGCGAATAATGTTATTGTTTTCGTACAAATCTAATAGTCGTTGAATTAAGCAACAGACCAGAAGTTTTCGTGGTTTATAGGCTGATAGACCACGCGGGATGTTGGAAAGACACGAGAAGAATTCGTAAATCACTCGCCTGCGGCTCGTGATTTACGAATTCTTCTCGTGTTCCTCCAACATCCCAAGTGGTTTATCAGCCTATAAACCATAGAAACTTGTGGTCTATTGCTTTTATCAGAGGTGATATGCTTCTGCTTTTATATAATAATTCAGAAGACACGCGAAATTTTCACGAGTTTACTGGCACAATAAACCATTGCTGATTGACCAATCAGAGCGCGCGCATTGATTTGATTATTATATAAAACTTTATATATAGTGAGAGAATAGACAGTGGGTAGCGTAGCCTATCAGAGAACTGCATTCATGGTAGAACACTCATGGATTTATACTAAAACTCGGTAGAAACACGGCACATGTAAACTGTTTTCAAGTTTCTGTATTAGGACTGTCCAAAGACTTAATTTTTTTTTTGTCCAAAAACTGTTCTTTTTGTGCAGTAGTAAGTAGTAGTAGTAACTGTAGTATTTAATGTAGTAGTTTTGTATGTAGGGAGTGTTTAAAGAAAGTTGTTCGCCATCCTTGTGGTACACATTACTTTAATTCGCATGTGTATTGGCAACACCCGAGTAAAAGAAAAAAGTGTACTTTTCAACAGTGCTTCAAGCCAAACTAAACGAAAGAGGTGGTAGGGGGAGGTTAGGGATGGTTTTTCCTGGACTGTTTTTTTCCCCCGACATTTTTGCCCTTTGTAGCATGCAAGTGTGGTATCCAGGTGTATAAACAGCATGCACAATAATTGTTTCTGAAGGGTTGGCATGAGCTTTTGGGATAGTAGAAAATTCATTGTAGTAGTAAATGAGGTATGTCTCAAAGAAAGATCAGCTCGATAATTTTTGGGAAATCTAAATTGTGAACATCATTTTTTTTTCCTTAGATCAATTTGCGCAGCATTTTGTTGGGTGGACTTGGTTGGCATAGTCGCAGTGTTAACATTGACTTTCCAAAATAAAGAAAGTAGCATTGATTTTCAGAAATGTCCCTGAAAATACCCGGTATGGAATAATAAATACTTTATGTACACATTTTCGATTTAAAGCTGTACAGTATTTATTCTCTTGCTTTCTTCTTTGTTATTGCACGAGTGGTGAAACACAGTTCTGCTCGCAGCTGTATAATTTATGTACAGGTCTTTGATAAATTATTCACTATCAAATATTTCTTTCCACATCCCACCTCACCACACAGTGAACCTCCTACCCAGATCTCTTTGCGACCCAGGAGAGACCAAAGAGATATATGAGGCGTGAAAGAGACTAACAGCAGTGATAGTTAACTTGCGTCTCCTCCTCACCATATCGTACTGAATGCGAGCGCACAGGTTGTGAGAATGAAGAGGAAAATTCTTGTATTAAAAACACTGTTCCAAAGAGAATTACAGAAAACACGCCAGGTCAGGGAAGCACAATTTTGATATTGATCTAAAAGAGTTGAATATTCCACGGAAAAGTCACAAGTGAAGTGAGAGTCCGAAGGCGACGAATGCTGTGTACAGTAACAGTTATGACAAGCCTTGCCGCCATGACGGAACCGCCCTGCAACAAAACAGTACTGGTATTACTTATAAGCGGTACTTGGGTCAGTAAAGGTACACAGATAAAGAAAACAAGAATGATGGAAAGAAAGCGAATCCTCCATCAGAGACAACCAACAACATG